GGCCAGGCCCGCCCTGGGAGCGCGCCCGCGGGGAACAAAGGGGACTCCCTGGGTCCTAAGCTCCGGGCCCGCCCGCGCGTCGCCGCGCCTGCGCGCGCCTCCGCGGGATGTGGCCCTCCACGTCCCCCACCCCGTGGAGGTGACTTTCCTCCCACAAAGCCCTGGCCGGGGACCCAATCAAGGACAGGGACCGAATAGCTGAGAAGCGGGAAATGTCTGCTTAGTGCCCGTAGTTAACATGGCGCCTGGCGCCTTCAGAGCCCAAGGAGGCCAAGTGGTAAGATGGTGCCTGCTCTTTCTACCCCTCTTGCACTTGCAGCACTCGGTTTCTCTGTTTTTTCCTTAACGCGATTGAACAAGGAGGCACCAGAGGAGGCAAAGCCGGGGCGAGAAGTCACCTCTTCCACTCACACCCCCGGGCGTGGGCGTCGGCAGAGCCCCGCCGTCCCTTGCCCCGCCCCGCCCCGCCCCGTGCCCTCACCCATGGTGGCGCCTGGCTGGCTTCTGGGAAAGGAAAGGGAAGAGGGAGAAGGGCGGGTGTGGGGGGGAAAGAGGGCGCCGAGAGGGCGGGAGAAGGCGGGGTGGGGAGCGGGGGAAGGAGGCGGAAGTCGAGGGGCCCCGCGGGTGGAAGTGACGCTGCCCCCGCTGCCCAAAATGTCGGCGCCCAGAGGGAGGTGTAAGTAATTAAAGAGGAAAGCTGACTGGCTTCCCTGGCTTCTCGGGGTCATGCCGGGTCTCCTGGACCTCCGCCCCGCGCATTCGAGGTGGACTGGCCCGGCCTGCGCCGCCGGACCTGCCCGTGCCCCAGCAACCGGGGCAGCACGTTTCAGGGCGACGGGGAGGGACGGGAGGGCCCGTTTTCTGGGTCTGAGTACGATGAGCAGCCTGGTGGGGGGGGGGCATTTTCCACGGGGAATGGGGGCGGGGCTCCTGGTGACTGGGGCGGGGCCAGAATCATGAAGAACAGTGGGCGGGGCTTTGCGGAGGGCGGGGAACTGTGGGTATTAATGGAGCGGTATATTCAAGGGGTGGGGCTTGTGAGGGGCGGGGCTCGATGCTGAATGGGGGAGGGTCCTAGGTTGAGAGCTTGCACTTCCATCTTTCCTCCATTGGAGCCCCAGCAAACGAGAGGGAGGTGGGAGGAGCCTGGAGTCGAAGGGGTGGAGCTTAAGAGCCTGCTTAGGAAGGGGTCCCGGATGGAGGGGTGGAATTTGGCGGGGTTTGGTGCCACTGTGAGTCCTTTGCAGTGAAAGTGGGAGAGTGTGGAGGGGGCTCAGTAGTGGCTGGGATAGGGCGAAGGAGATGACTGGAGTAGCATAGAGGCAGACATGGGGAAGATGGGAAAGGTAGTGTGGGGATTGGAAACCGGCCCTAGGGGCCATGTGCGGAGCTGGTGGAAGTCCAGGTGCTTGGCCAGAACAGTGGACTAAAGGGGAAGGGGAGGGTGGTGATCCGGCTCGGCTGCCCCGGCGGCGGCTCAGGTAAGACCAGGAGCGCAGGGCGCCCACCTTCTGGAGGTGATTACCGGCACTTCAGCCTTTTCTCTCAGAGGAAACAGTTGTCATCCGTGTGCTCTGTGGTTGTAGGGCTGGCCTCCAAGTGTGCTGCGCCCCAGATCTTTGTCCTCCCAGCTTTTTGGGGAGAGGGGAAAGAGGCCTGAAGGGTACACTGGGGTTAAGCAAGAAGGAGGGGGGCGGGGATCCGAGGAGGGGGCGGTCCTAGCTGTGTGGGCGGGGCCTGGGAGGGTCTGTAGTGAGCTTGGGACTTTATGAATGGGGAAGGCTGGTGACATGAGGGTAGGGCTCCTGAACACCTGGGTGGGGTAGGGCCAGGCTGGTGAGCCCAGGCACCCTCCCCTCACCCTCTCCTGTGTCTCCCTACCCCAGAAAGCACGCCCACCACCGCCACTGATACCCCTGCCACCATGGACGACGCCCTGCCGCCCGCGCCCCAAGTCCCGGTCCCCGTGGTGGCTCAGGCGCCAGCACCCCCGGCCGCCACCCCCCGGGTCCCATTTCACTGCAGCGAGTGCGGCAAAAGCTTCCGCTACCGCTCAGACCTGCGGCGCCACTTCGCCCGCCACACGGCGCTCAAGCCCCACGCGTGTCCACGCTGCGGTAAGGGCTTCAAGCACAGCTTCAACCTGGCCAACCACCTGCGCTCGCACACTGGGGAGCGGCCCTACCGCTGCTCCGCCTGCCCCAAGGGCTTCAGGGACTCCACCGGCCTGCTGCACCATCAGGTGAGTTTCTCGGGCTGGATGTGGCCCTGCCCTGGGGCTCCACCACACTCACCTGCCTGCTCCCTTGGCAAACTCTTTGCCTTCTGCCCGTGGCCCGGATGGAGGGACACTTCCTTTTCACTACCTCAACCCAGATGAATGAGCTTAGTACCTTTGCCAGCTGAAGCGTGCCTCCTGTCATCTAAGCAGCCGATGCCTTCCTGGGCTGAGTGTGTTCTGCCCAGGGAACCTGTATTCCTTGGGATGGGATGAAGCAGTTCTGCAAACAGGAAGTTCCCTTAGCATTTGACATCAGTGAGTAGGAGGATAGCAGGAAGAGTTGTAGGTCACTGTTGATCTTTGGGAAGGAAGATCAGGGAAGGGTGACAGGTGGACAAAGAAAGAGTCCATGTAGGAAAACCAATGCAAGCAGAAAGAAGAAGTGCCAAGGTCCTGAGGTGGGAAGGAGATTAATGTGTGCCCTCATTGATGGGAGACATCCCTGTTGGCAGAGAGCACCAAGCAGCACTGGGAGTGGTCTGTCTTCAGCATGTAATACCACCTACTCCGGAGGCAGAAATCAAGGAAAAACCGTTCTAGGCCTGCTCGAGTAAAATAAGTATGTGGCCCTCCATCTCCACCAGTGGGTGTGCCTGTTAACTGTAGAGGAGGCACACGAAGGAGCATACCAGCCCAGGCCTGAGTATGAGGAGAGACCTGGCCTCAGCAATAACCAGCACTGGGGGCTGGGAAGGTGACTCAGTGGTAGAGGGCTTGCCTTGCATGCATGAAGCCCTGGGTTCGATTCCTCAGTACCACAGAGAAAAAGCCAGAAGTGGCGTTGTGGCTCAAGTGATAGAGTGCTAGCCTTGAGCAAATGAAACTCAGGGACAGTGCCCAGGCCCCAGGACTGACAAAAAAAAAAAAAAAGCACTAAAAAGAGCTGGAGTGACTCAAGTAGTAGACCACCTGCCTAGCAAGAGGGCAGGCCTTGAGTACAAACCCCAGTACTGCCAAAGAGCCAAAAGAAGCCAGGCATCAGTGGTTCACACACCTGGAATCTTAGCTGCTCAGGAGACTAAGATCTGAGGATTGCAGTTCAAAGCCAGCCCAGGCAGGAAACTCCATGAGACTCGAATAAACTACTCAAAAAAGCCAGAAGTGACGCTGTGGCCCAAGTGGTAGACTATCCTTGAGAAAGACAAAAAGGTCAGGAACAGCACCCAGGTCCTGGGCCCTAGGTTTCCAGGACCTGAAAAACAAAACAAAAAAGAGATGGGGAAAAGGCTGAGTCCAGGAGCTAGAAGGGCACTTCCTTGAGTTCTGGGATTTGAACCACAGATTGCCAGCGAGCGCACAGAGCCCCCAGGCCTTCGTTTCTCTGTCAGGGAGTTGAAAAGGAGTAAGGCTTAGCCAGGCGGCGCAGCTCTAGGGCTCCAGGGACCCCCTGGGAACGGGCCCCAGTTGGGGGATGAGGCCGTGCCAGTGGGTCCAGGCCAGGGCCTGGCAAGGCTGGGGCAGGGCGCCCCTCCCTGGGCCTGATCGTGCCCTTGCTTGGGCCACAGGTCGTCCACACCGGAGAGAAGCCCTACTGCTGCCTGGTCTGCGAGCTGCGCTTCTCCTCGCGCTCCAGCCTGGGCCGCCACCTGAAGCGCCAGCACCGCGGTGCACTTCCGGCCCCGCTGCGCCCCCCGCTGCAGCCCAGCCCTGGCCTGCCGGCCCTGGGCGCCCCTTGCGCCGTCTGCTGCAACACTGGGCCCTGCTCAGTGTGCGGGGGCGCAGGAAGCGCGGGAGCTGGTGGCAGCGGTGGCGGC